GCTCATGAGCACTGTCATTGTATAATCACTTCTTGCAGATATTGTATGAATACATATCTAGAGTAAAAGCTGGAATCACTTTTATCTTATAGCTGACAAGACACTGCATTATAGTAGCCATCGGTTTTGAAAATGCAAAAACCACTCTCTATTTTGATAGTTTTATTTGATGTCTTCATTGGCCGGGACTATTTTTCCTACTTTAACCAATTTATTTTCTTTTTCATTTTTTTTAAAGCATAGTCATTATTGTGGTGCTAAGTTACATGTAATTGCTGCCCGTTTCATTTCACTCAGGCATGGACCGATGTGAAATTATCATCTCCTCAGCTTTCCAGAGAAGACATGTACAAACTGGCTCTCAAAAGTCCTAAACTTCAATGTGTTTCTTCTAGGCAAGTTTCATGTGTTGCTTTTGCCTTCATTCTGTCTTTTCTTTGCCCTTATTGAAGCTCATTCATTTACAACACTGGAAATTGAATACCAGAACTCGTTAATAGCAAGCAATGCATTTATTATAGTACAGGGATTGTGAATGGTCTAAGGTTAAATAATGTTCTTTCTGTTTTTGGCCGCACTAGTTATGGCTTGATTGCAGAGTTGGATAACATATTGCGGGCTTATGGTTATTGATTGGTTCATTATTTCAGTGAAACAAGGAATCCTTTTGTGGAGAATGCTGTGCAATATTCTTTGGCTGCTGCGCATGCAACATTTGACAAGAGTAAGATGGAGTTGTTGCACAAGCTGCTTTTACAAGGTAACATATGATTTTTGTTCTTTACTGTTGCTAAAAGAAATGTGCTTGAAACTAATTTTCTAACTGGATTAGTTTTGCAGGTCTTGATATTACAATTTTGGGTGGTAATGATTTCTATTCATACAGGAACCTGGTAATGTACCCTCATTTATGATCTCTTTACATCATATTCTATGAGTATCTTTTGACTGTCTCTAGAGCAGTTTACAATACTTTGTTTTAAAATCCAATTGATGTCTATTATTTCACTGTTGATAAGAACAACCAACTGTTGCATTTTGTAATTTTTTTTTTTTAAATGTAGAGCCTTTTACCTTATGTCCCTCCTCCTCCTCTTAATCCCCCACCCCCCTCGTTGCAAGACTTTTTAACTTTTCACAACTTGAACAGTAGATAAAATAAAAAAGGGTTAAATTAATAAATTATGGCAGATTGAAAGATGCGGGCTTCCTTTGACACCAGAATCATTGGCCACCCTTCCACCGTTTTCTTCAATAACCTTGAATACTGAGGATGCTAGTGGAGCAAACTGCAGGCCTGAAGTAGCCAAAACTGGATTAGGCTCTTCTGCAGCAATGACAACTGCTGTAGTTGCTGCTTTGCTTCATTACTTCGGAGTTGTAAGGCTCTCCTCATCCAAAGATCCTCAGGAAAGGAAGGATACTGAAGATCTTGATGTGGTGCATAAAATAGCTCAAACTGCTCATTGTGTTGCACAAGGAAAAGTAGGCAGTGGGTTTGATGTTAGTTCAGCTGTTTATGGCAGTCAATCCTATGTGCGGTTTTCACCAGGAGTGATCTATTCTGCTCAGGTCTTTCCCTTCTTCCTTGTGTATGCCTGTATGATTTTCTGTGGGTGCAGTTCAAGAGTTTCTGTGTATTGAGCAGCAACTATGATACTTATTTGTCTAAGTTCCTCACATATACTGATAGAATAGTATCTAGACCGACTCTGCAGAAGTTATGAATGTAGCACAAGTAAAGATGGAAATGCATAATTTAACCTCCTGGGTTTGCCTGATCCTGACCCACGTCAGCTGTCCATATTGAGTACAGTGATCTCTACTGTTATCTAAATAATAAAAGAAGATATCAAATTATATGGAAAGAAACATTATGCAGAGAAAGGGGATAAGACATCCTCCTAAAACCAAGCAGCAAAAGAAATGGATATGGAAGAGTTACCCAGTCCCTCTGATCTATAAATATCAACCAAGTAAACTCCTAATCCATGTGCCAAACGCCTTAGGAGAGACCATCAATACAATTCTACTCAATCCTCTACAAGTACTTTCAATACTAACGTGTGATGATAAACATGTTGGTACAAGGGAAGTTCACAATTATTTGTTCTAGATTTCTAGTCAGTATTTGTTCTATGCCACTTCCCCACCTTCTGTAGAGCTTTTTTGTTGAGGTAAAATAAATCCAGATGGATCGAGTCGTGTATGCAGAATTTATTGATGCTATCAGCACCATAAATTTAGATCACTCATTATCGCTATGCATTGGTTAAATAGAGATTTGGAATGAATCCAATTCTCTGAACCAATTATTGCCATTAGTCCCATTATTTTAGACTGCTCATTATAAGGGGAATACTTTTTAAGATACTCATTCTAATTACCTAATGTTATCTTGAAATTAGTAAATATGTTCCACAAACGTCATTGACCTTTTTGACTTATGTTATTGACATTGAAGGTTTCAGCAGATGCGGGGTTTCTATCAGAAGCTATTACTAACATTTTGAAAGGAAAATGGGACCATGAGAGGACCAAGTTTTCATTACCACCCTTGATGACTCTTGTAAGCAACTTCCATTTCACATTTGTTTGCTCTTGTGTATGCTGTCTGTCCCACAGTTGTGCATGTTATTGGACACTTACCTCCTCTCCCATTTCCTTTTTTCCTTTGTGAGGGACGAGGGTTATAGATAACTATGTACTTTTACTTTTAATCCCTAATATAAATTGGTTGACTAAAACCTTCTGTGAATGGAAATGAAAAGGATAGTAATAAATCTGATCCCAGATATAGAATTTTAAATCTCATTGAATATGTCTCTTGGTTTTTCTAAGCCTTCTGTTCCATGTATGCCAAAGGCATCCTAAACTCTTATATTTCATCTAACACTTTACTGATTAGATGGCAGCTGTTCATTTGAATACTTGCGTTCTGCTAATTTATTAACATCCACTTCTCTTTTAATGTATAGAACTATCATCCTCCGTGTTCTTGGCATTTAAAACTGTTCATTAAATTGTCCGCGGCAGAGCGGCTAACTAAATATTGCTATGTTTCAAAGAGTGTTTGTTCTTTGCATAGAGTTCGCTGAATATCCAAGATCATGTGTATAATGAGATGAAAATCTTGGAGGTTTAATTCGCTAAGATCAGAGTTGATGGTGTGATTAAGGAACCTAAGAAAATTATATTAATTTCAGGGACGTAAATTTCATGCTTCTGCAATAATATTCTGGAATAAACTATCCTGTTTTGGCAACTTTGCAGTCTCGTAAATTGAAGGATTAGTAATTCCTTTTACTTTTTGATCTAAATTAAAACATTAAATATTGATCTGTTCTCTCTCTGTTACTTGGTACTACTTGGCTTCTCTTGAAAATATCACCCATATGTTTTGGATAACGTAGATGGATTTTTTCACTTCACTATCTTCCTTGGAAATGGAAGATGTTTTAGTAGGCATCTGAGGACCTTTTTCATGTAACCACATTCGTCATATTATTCTGGTTCTGTAACTGACAAATGATGTCAAGATTGTAAGCCTCCCTTTTTGGCAATCATTATCTCCTCTCTCTGGTTTCCCTTTTTTTCTTTTCTGACTTTGGTTTTCATATTTGTCTGAAGCATATGGAATATCTTGTGCTGAATATCATTCTCTTCAGTTACTAGGAGAACCAGGAACTGGTGGTTCATCCACACCATCAATGGTAGGTTCCGTCAAAAGATGGCAAAACTCAGACCCTCATAAATCTCAGGAAATATGGAGAAGGCTGTCAGAAGCAAATACAGCGCTGGAAATGCAATTGAAATTGTTAAGCAGACTAGCAAAGGAGCAATGGGATGCATATAAATGTGTAATTAATAACTGCAGCATGCTCAGATCAGACAAGGTATTTCCAGAGCTCATTTACAATTGTGTTAATGAAGCGATTTGGAAATCAAAATATAAATTCTTGTTCAGCTCAAGTTAATTGATTGACATTTAAGAAGGTTTGTCACACCCCAAGTTTACTTTTAGGTAATGATCATACTCAACACAGGATAATAAAATTAAAAAACTTGATTTGATTGAGGAAGGATGTATTTAAGGTAAGTAGAAAATAAGGAAGGATCATGTAAAAGAAACTGCTCCAGTCATGGCAGCATGTTGTGTCCATAATGCAAATTAATACCATGGTTAACTGGAAGTACGTTAGTGAAGAAAACAAAATTTATGTAAAATTCCGTGCTAGATTTTGCAGCCATTGTATCCAGATTTGATTTCAGGTTTTGCCCTTTGTCACTACAGATGTGACCTGTCATGGCTGAGGCCTTTTTTTCTTGACGTTGAGTTTCTATGGTTTTCCTTGCTATTTTGTGGCTTTCATTCTTGACTCTCGATTTTACTTTTTTGCTGTTGATGTTTAAAACGGAAACTGCACGAGCAGTGGATTGATCAAGCTTCTGAACCCAATAAAGAAGCAGTTATTAAAGCACTGCTAGGAGCAAAAGATGCGATGCTTCAAATTAGATATCATATGCGCACAATGGGTGAGGCTGCTGGCGTCCCAGTAAGTTCCTTCTACTAAATCAGTGCACGTTTATTGTCCCCTGGTTTCATGATGCTGATTTTCCCTGTAAAGTTTATGTCCAGGTGTAATAAACTGATCATAACTGATGTGAACTCATTCTTTTATTTTTGAAGGGTAGTGAGACTTTGCCCTATTTAAAAGTAACCCTTGATTTATTGCGTCTCTTTTTTTTTCATGACGAAATGAGTAGGTTTAATATTTGATGATCTTCTTGCTGGGATTGATTAAACGGGGAACTTTTTATTTGGATATTTTCCTTTCCGTAGCGAGTTGCTATTGGAATCCCATTGAATAGGATTTGTGCGGCTGGGAGTTTTAAATGTAATTATAGTATAATGCACTTGGTAAATTTCATAAATAATGTGTATTGCCAAAATAAAGTTGACATGGGATTTGAATTGTGTGTTTTTTGAGCAAAAATACTGTAACTAGAAGACGTATAGCATTTATAATCTCTATTCCAAGTGTAATCACAGATAAGATACACTCACATTTGCTTTCTTGGTTGATTAGTTTAGCGATTTAAATAAGAATTATGAGTCCAATAGTCTCATGAGTTGCAAAATGTACAGATTGAACCAGAATCACAGACACAACTTCTTGACGCTACTATGAACTTGGAAGGAGTTTTGTTGGCAGGAGTTCCAGGAGCAGGAGGATTCGATGCAGTCTTCACTGTCACCTTAGGAGGTTCAAGCACAAAAGTGACAAAAGTTTGGAGTTCACTCGATGTGCTTGCATTGCTTGTTACAGAAGATCCTCGTGGAGTTTCCTTAGAGAATGCTGACCCACGAACCAATGAAATCACATCAGCAGTGTCTGCAATCCATATTGAATAAGCTGATTACCTTGAATTGAATATTGCAAAAGACCGCAAAATATTTGCAAGGAATGCATGTTGTAGACTAGGTGAATTAGTTTCTTTTGCGTATGAGGAAAAAGATGAGGGGACAGTAAGCCTGGTGTCTGTTACAGTATTCTTGAAAAATGTACAATAAGAAAGGAACTCTTCATTGTCTCTGCTCTTCCTCCAGGTTCTGTGTTGAATGTTCCAATTTGTCGCCTAAGATCTTTGAATGTTCTGATGTGCGAACCATTTCTGAAACTTGAAATAGAATTGTGTTGCGTAGCTTTGGTCAAAACTATGTTCTGACTTTTTTCTTCTTGCTCTTCTGTTTGACCTCCCTGGGTGTCCTGAAATTGTAACACCATTTACGAACGATGTGCACAACAATTCCCCAATCTCCAATCATCCCATGTGAACAGATTGAGAATCATCTGTGAGGGATATGACATGAGACCTTTAAAACAGGAAATCCACCTGCGCATCACAACTCGAATGCAAATATAAAGAGATCTACCAATAATCTCCACAGGAGCAAGTTCCATCTTTAAAATGGTGGAACCTATGACGGTCTCTTACAGTGATTTCTCGCTCGTAAATCATCGAAATAAACTTGGTGTAGGTGTGACAGTCCCTACACATCCTAAGGTTTCTTGATATTCTTATGGGAGCTCCTTCAGATGTATGTATTAGTGCAAATGCAGTTGCTAGCTTCTGACTATGATATTTCAGTCTCTGCCTCTTTTCCTCTTCATCTATATCAAGCAACACTTGTGATGTGTCTGGTATATAGCCTTCGAATTTCAACTGCCATTCCATTTGGTTAATCATGTCATAGATGCTTTCACATTGGGGCTGAGACTTGTCCTGTGAGACAAATTTGTAGACCTTCCTCTTTGCTTCAACCAAGCTAACCCCAGGAGTTTGAATCAGGCCTTTTTCAGCCATTGCTTTTCTAATCCTTGCCACGTCATCCCACCTTTTAGCTTGCGCATACATATTTGATAGCACCAAATAATCACTAGGATTTCTAGAGTTCAGCTGGAAAAGATTCTGAGCAGCAATGTCGCCTAATTCTAAATCAAGGTGAACTTTACAAGCACTAAGAAGGCTCCTCCACACCACATCATTTGGTGCAATTGGCATGCTCTTTATGAGTTCATAGGCTTCCTTGAGCATCCCTGCTCGCCCCAAAAGGTCCACCATGCAGCTGTAGTGCTGAACTGTTGGTTCAATCCCATGCTCAGATTGCATGAGATTGAAACACTTTAGACCCTCATTGACCAGACCAGCATGGCTGCAAGCACTTAATACACCCACATAGACGACATCATCTGGTGCCAAACCTTGTTCCTGCATTTCCAGAAAAACTCTCAGAGCTTCCTTGCCATGTCCATGCATGGCAAGCCCAGATATCATCACAGTATAAGAGAATCGATTCTTCTCGGCCATGTTTTGGAACAGATAAAGAGCTTTCTCGAGGCATCCACACTTGGCATACATGTCGATCAATGAAGTCTCAACAATAACATTGAGCTCACTGATGTTCCTTTGAAAAATCCCATGAATGCACCTTCCAAGATCAAGAGCGCCTAAATGGGTACATGCAGAGAGCACACTCACCAATGTGCTTTCTTCAGCCCTCCAGCATCCCTTACTGCTCATATCACTAAACAACATCAAGCTCTCCTGCCACATTTCTACATTTGCATGAGCTCCAATTATAGCACTCCATGAAGCTATACTCTTTTCACCCATTTTCTCAAACACGGCACGGGCATCCTCTATTTGCCCACATTTCGCATACATGCTGATCAAACTGTTCTGTACAAATATATCATCTTCAAGACATGCCTTAAAAGCATGGCCATGAATTTGCCTCCCTTCTTGGAGAGCTCCTAGAAGAGAACATGCCTTGAGCAGAGGGGGGTGAGTGAAGTTGTCAAGTTCAACTCCTCTTTCAAACATCTCTTCATAAAGAAGCAAAGCTTCTTCTAGATTCATATTCTTGACGTAGCCTCTGATCATGGTGTTGAATTCAAAACTACCAGGTTCCTCAATTGACAGAAGATTGAGCAAGCATACTCCAGACTGCCCCAATTAGTTAGGGCACATGTAGTCACAAGATTGCTCGCACAGGAAGAATCCCAGAATAAGCCCAACTTCAGGATTTGGGCATGAACTTGCTTAAATTCTTCCATGCTGTTGCATCTTTTCAACAGAGACAAGCCTTTCTGCTCGTTGAGCCTGAAACTGAATTCAATGTTTTGCGGTGGATTCTTTGGTGGTGATAAAATATGGGTTTGCGTAAGGACAGATGTCCCAGTCATCCTTCCATGCACACCATGATAAACCAGAAATCGCAGGTAAAACTGGAAAATGAGAGCCCCATTATTATTCCAGCACATATGAATGACCCATCGTTCAACTCAAGTTTGAAGATGAAAAGAAAAAAGGGAACACGTAGTGCCAAAATGATCAAGAGCAGCCGAATATTGATCCCACTTCACGGAATAGCAATACGAAGAACTGTGGGAAGCACGAGATGAGGTGATTATAGGGCCTGAAGCCAAAAGGCCTGAATTGAGTGTTCTTGAGAGGATTTGAAGGTGATCCATGAGATTTCAAAGAGCGTTTCCAACCAGAAAAGCTGTTGCAGGAGAATTCTGGATAGGATAACGTTTGGGAAAAGGTTGGTCCCACTAGATTCTCCTGGCAACTTAGAACACCTCTCATGTCTCGCCACGTGGGAAGCGATGGCCGGCACAGCAAGAGCGACATTTAGTTTTGTTTGTGCATGGAGTCACTTCTAAATGTAGACCACAAAAATTAGGCCTATATGTATATAGCAGTATATATTCACCACTTTGTACAAAAATCACTTCTATTTACAATTACTTAGAATTAAAAAAAAATGTTTTTAAATAAGAATAAACTTGGAATCTGATTTTATTTTTTAAAATCATTTTAATGATTTAACTGCTTTTCCTCACCTCTAATGATGTAAAAAAAAAAAAGTTCTATATTAATAAACCGAAAGAGTATTGTTTAAGATTGTTTAGCTGGATCATTGTTGTGTGAACAGTTCCACTTTCCACCTGATTAAAAATTTTTATGGCTAGAGTAATTCGAAATTGAGGGAAAGTAGATTAAGCAATTTATTTTCATGTAAAAATATTGAGATGATTTATCCAAAAAAATAACTATCTCAAAAGGTTCAAACTCTATAACTAAAGACTTCAAGATGAAAAAATGAAGTTCGAGATGAAGAAATGAAGAAAAGAATAAGGTAAAAAGTTTTTTGAAATCAAGGATATTGATATCTGAATTGAAGATTTCAAATTTTGAAATTAAAGTTCTAAACAGCTAGTCAAAAAAATAAATTATTCTAAACAATCTCGTGACAAAAATTGAACTCATTTTCATGTAAAAATATTGAGATGATTTATCCAAAAAAAATAATTATCTCAAAAGGTTCAAACTCTATAACTAAAGACTTCAAGATGAAAAAAATGAAGAAAAGAATAAGGGAAAAGTTATTTGAAGTTAAGGATGTTGATATTTGAACTCTGAAGATTTAAAATTTGAAATTAAAGTTCTAAACAGCTGGTCAAAAAAATAATTATTCTAAACAATCTCATGACAAAAATTAAACTCATTTCTCATCGAACAAAGTTTGAATTTACCTTCATTTGGATAAGTAAAAAAATAAAGAGAAGAAAAATACTAATGGGAGGAATCTTAAAAATAAAAATAAAACAATTACTATTTTCAAAATTTCTCTTACTAGTTTTCCTTTCTTCCTGATTTTTCTCTAATCTTTTTCTTTCGTCCAAACTAAGTTTTAAAGTCTGCACTCAAGAGCATGCCCCAAATTGAGCCAAAACTAAGCAGGATTCAGTGGGAGGCCAACAAATACGGAGTTTGGGCCTTTGACTCTCACTATACTAGAAATATATCTTGCAGAGTCGGGCTAGACCGGTTGTAGGCCCTGGCCCAATATAACCTTTTGTTAAAAAATGTATTTTTTAAGAATTTATGTGAATTTTTATTTTTATTTTATTGAAGAAATGCATTCACAATTAAAACAAGATTACATCAACGACATATGACCTGCTGAATCACTCTCATCATCCACCGCCTCTTGTAATAAAGGTGGGGATGATCAAAAATACAAAAGCTAATATTTAGTTTATGAGACTTCTTATTAAGATGATCAACATAAGTATTAAAGCATCTACTAACATAATAAATGAGGATGCTTCAATTCCTATGAAGCTGAATTTTTAATTTTAGACAATGATAGACTGTGAATGTGACCAACCCATGATTCGAGTTGGATTTAGTCTTTATTTTTCATTTTTTACCAACCATCTGGATTCAGTCTCATTTATAGTCATGCCTTGATGGCAAGTTGCAATGCCAAAAAAAAAAAAAGGGTTTCAAGCATTTCAACATGAGTTTGTTATCATACCAATCCTCTCTTACAAAATAAGAACTTGATTGATTTGGAAAAGCAGATATCACTTATGGTCCCTCTAGAATTTAAATCCATGATTTAAAAAAAGAAGTTAAGCTGTATTTTTACTTTTGAAATAATTTTTAAAAATATATCTACCATCCTAAATCATTTAGTATAATATTTTTACTCCTAAAATAATAAAAATGTAGCATTATTCACTCTAACGTTAAATAATTACAAATGTCCATTTGATAATTAAACTATATTCTCTTGCATTATATTAACAGTCAACATCTATTATTTAATGTTGGAATAAAAAATATTATATTTTAATTACTTTAAGAGACAAAATTGATATTAAATAGTTTAAAATATTCAGTGTTCTTTAAAAAATATTTCAAGAGTAACACCCTTAAAAAATGATAAAAAGTATTAATAAATCTTCTCATATTATCCGAAACTATAGCCATATAATTCTACGGCATCACTGCGAGTTTTTTTTACAAAATGGCACCATTAAGGGTGAAAAAGAGCAAGTGAGAGTGGCATGTAGATAGTAAAAAGGGGTAATAAATCAATCTGAAGACGCCTTAAAATGTTGGTAATCGGAGAATTGTTGCAGCTTCATGTGAGCTTCATGTTTCAACGCAATAAATGAGAATATCGATTGCTTCAGTCCCTTTGATCTTAGTGACATAGCTGCTTTCGTCAAACTTGTCATCAACACTCACATTCAATCATTCACTTGCAGTCATGCTACATTATTGCTCCCCCCTATCATAGTACTCCCTCCTTTTATATATTTAAAGAAAAAAAAATTGTATCATATAAAAAAATTAATTAATCATAATAATTATTCTTTTACCTTTATATATAAAATATTTTTAAAAACTTATTTTATATCTAAATATAAAAGGTGATAACAATTTTTTTGAATAACTAAATAATTTTATCCTTTTTTAAAAAAATGAAATAGATCATTAAATATATATTTTTTATCACCATTATAATATTAATTATGATATTATTAGGGATAGAAACTAAAAATTATTGTGTTTTTATGTGAGTTTAACTAAATAATAAATTTCTATTGTGCGGAATTCGATTAAAAATATCTTATATATAGGGACGGAAGGAGTATGTCTAAAAATGAAAAAAATTAGATTGAAATGCCTTATGTTAGTCAACATAAGTATGCATTAATTATTTCTCGTTAATGTAAGTTGTGAGAAGTGATTTAAAAATGTGTAATAAATATTTATTGAAATATGTGATTTTGTTTATATAAAAAAAAATAAAAAGTGATACTTTTTTTATAAATAAAAATAGTAGGAGTATGGAACAATAATAGGAAGTTGGGTGCACAAAAATATTTAAAAAAAATGTTTCAGTTTTAAAATTCAAGAGCATACAGTTAAATAAAGTTATATAATTTAGCTTTTTTTCCCCCATTGAAAAGTAAACATGGGATCGTGATCAGCATGGTGCGGTGTCATTTTTTACAATAGAAATATACTTTCTCCGTTTTTAAATATGAAAACAACAATTCATGTAGTTTAAAAAAGTTGTTTAAGTATAATAATAACATTTAAAATTTAAAAATAATTAAATTATCTTTATAATCAATGAGACAAGTTTGTCCAGTGAAAATAACCAATAATTTTATGAAGGACAATTTAAGGAAATGTAATAAATACTTTTTAAAATTTGTAATTTTTCCTATAAATAAAAAGAAAGACACACATGATAATTTTTCGTATATTCAAAAACGTAAGGAGTATAGAATAAAAGCATACTGCTATGGTTTTATTTATAAAGTAGGAAGGGAATATTAATTTTGATTGCATTTATGAGATATTTTGCTATTTTTCACATTCATCTTGACATTTCTACCTTTATTAGATATTAAAAAATTATTAAAAATAGTTTTTTGTCCTTATTAAAAGTAGAAGTAAAAATTTATTAAATTTTAAAATAAAATTAATAAAATTTAAAATTTATTCACTTAATAAAATATATTAAAAATAATTTATAAGTAATAATACAACCTATCTCACTGCATCCAAAGTAAACAGTAAAAAGCTGAACCAAACTTTGGGCAAGAATTCAAGATATATGGATGAGCTGGACTGTAAATTATTGACCGCCTTACAGATTTTTTATATTCTAATATGATAATAATAATAATAAATTAATAAATTCATAAATAGTGCAGGTCAATGACTCTGGAAGAGGGCAGTGCCTATAATTGAAAGCATGAGAAGGAGAAGCCCACACGGGAGGGTACTAAAACGTCCTACGTGCATTGGGTAGGACCACCCTACATGTGGGTCCGTACTGCCCTTTCCTACGTCATTGTCCAACGTCTTTTTTCACTCCCACTTTTTGTTTTTTTGTTACCGTTTGCTGAAAAAAGTCCGACTTTTTGTTATTATCAATAATTTTTAATAATTCAAGCTTAATAATATCTTTGATGTCCCGACTCAATAAATAAACAAGTAAATTTAAATTTAAATAACTAAAATTTCCAGCAAAAATTTGTTCGACTTATAAATTTATGGCCCATATTTTTTCAAAAGTATAAATTTAAATCCTGCCATTAATATAAGAAATTAAAATCCCCTGAAGTTCTAGCGGGATTACCTGCATGAAAAGTGAAGCTTATGAAGATTTTTCTTATTGATTGTTGCACTCCATTAGTATATGTGCGTGTGCGTGTCTGTTGATATTAAGGAATTATTTCAATATTTTTTAAGTTCATACATGAACTTCAAATAATTTAAACCAGAAATCAGAACTACTTAATTGCAATGTCTCTTGTGTGTGTACAGGTGAGAAAATTATTTCAAAGCTAAGGTTATGTTGACAAAGGATGTTTACCATCTTGATTTAGTTCTGTTGGGGACCAAGACCTTCAAGGTCAAAAAAAAAAAAAAATAAAAAAGACCAAGACCAGCATTAACTGATCTAATTGATACCGGGAGGGGAGGGGGAGGACAGGGAGTAAATTAATAAAAAAAATATAAAGGTAACCAAAAGTGTGTGATAGAGTGGTATAGGCCTCTTTCTCCTTTAACGAAAATTCTCGCTTGAGCATGTAAAGCATTAAAATCTTTAGCTAGCTGTCTCATCCTTTGATGTGCCCACAATTCAGCAAATTTGGATTAGTCTGAGTCGTTGATGTGCTCGAAAGAGA